TAAGGGGCCTCTGTGCTCTCTGCTGCCCAAGGGGTTAGAGTGCCCAGCGATCCCCGGATTCCCTGCCTCTGGACTAAGTGTCCTGCCCTGCCCCTTTAAGACTTCCAGAAAGCACCCGCCAAAACAAAACAATGACCACACACACACACACACACACACACACACACACAAAATGGCCGCTCGTTTTTCTTTATTCTCCGGCGCCAGCCTCGGGCACCTGCTCACCAGTTTTGCTGCCCTGTTTCCCTAGTATTGCGGTCCGTATTCCTTTAAGACTTCTGAAAAGCTCTCGCCAAAACAGAACAGCAAGAACAACAACAACAACAACAAAAAAAAATTGGCCGCTTGCTTTTCTTTTGTTCTCCGGTGCCGGCCTCAGGTACCCGCTCGCCAGTCTTGCTGCCCCGTTTCCCTAGTATTGTGGTCCCTGTCCCTTTAAGACTTCCAAGAAGCACTCACCACAAAACAACAACAACAACAACAACAAAAAAGATGGCCGCTCGCTTTTCTTTTGTCCTCCGGCGCCGGCCTCCGGTACCTGTTCACCGTTCTTGCTGCCCTGTTTCCCTAGTATCCAGGGCCCCGCGCATGCACTGTGTCTGTGCTCTGATCCGGATGGCTGGGGCTGGGTGTTCAGCAGTCCTGGGCTCCCTCTCCCTCCCTGCTGACTCCTCTCCTCCCACCGGGAGCTGGGGGAAGGGGTGCTCGGGTCCCGCCGGGCCGGGGTTTGTATCTTACCCCCTTTGTGAGGCGCTGGGTTCTCGCAGTTGTTGATGTGGTCTGGATGTTATCCTGTGTCCTCTGGTCTTTATTCTAGGAAGAGTTGTCTTTGTTATATTTTCATAGATATATGTGGTTTTGGGGGGAGATTTCCGCTGCTCTACTCATGCCGCCATCTTGGCTCCGCCCCGGAGTTACCTGTATTATTAAATCCTCACTTCCACTAATGCAGTTACTTTAGCCCCCGAGTTACCTGTATTATTAAATCCTCACTTCCACTAATGCAGTTACTTTAGATTTAATTTTTTTGTATATATTTTCCACTCAAAATATTTTCTGGCATTAAGTGATATTTTAATTCACTCTGAATCCAAGTGGAAAATTTTATGAATTACCTGTGATTTTACCTATTCATATGTAATTTAGTTTTTTAATTTATTAAATTTTAGGATTCTGATTAGGAAAGTTAAATTTCTTTCTTTCCATTTCAGGATACAGTTGGGCAATGGTGAAAGAAATGGAATATATATGTAATGAAATAAGTCAGCCAGTAACATTTCCTGTCAGAGCAGCATTAGTCAGGCAGTCTTGTTCTCAGTTACTTTGGCTGTTAAAGAAATCAAACAGGTATGTATAAGTTTAACAATAGAGTGTGTGCATGTGAATACGTGTGAGGTATAGAGGCAGAAACAGGCTGAAAACTGATTATGTAAAAACTGTGTGAGAGAGACAGAAGGAAATGAACACTGGTTCTGTAAGCACACAGACTCTCCATAGAATGAAGCTCCTTGATGAACATTAACTTACTTAACATTGTGTCTTTCACCCCTATTTCTTAGCAAATGGTTTTGCACATAGTAGATACCCAGTAAACATTTATCTTTTTTTATTATGTTATAGGTTCACAAAAAGTTATGAGGATAAAATAATCTCTCTTTAAATTCTGTCATAATATCAGAAGTCCTTTCTATTAAAAAAATTATTTTAATAAGTAATAAAAATTAGCTGAACCACCTATTAAGTATTAAGATATATTAATAAAGCTACAGATATTGAAACAATTTTGATACTATCTTTTTAATAGACTAGTCAGTAGAACAACAGGGAAAATCCAGAAATAAACCCAAATATACTATGGAACTTAGTATAAGAAAAATCTGGCATTTCAGATCATTGGAGCAAAAGTTCAATAACTGATGAAACTGGTGTTGGGACAGCAGGCCAACTATGTAGAAAAAGCAAAACTAGTTCCTTAATTCTTCCTCCAAAATAAATTCTAGAGGAATTAAAGACTTGAACATCAAACATTAAATACATTTTTAAAAATGGTGATTTTTTAAATATAGTTTCAAAATGGAGAAGGGCTTTCTTAGGAAAGTACAAAATCTAGAAGTTGTGAAAGGAATGTTTGATATATTTTCATACACACAAATGAATGATTATTATACATAAAACTATCCTCAATACATATGTCAGGCAGATGTAAAGAATTTTTACAAATCATCCAAAAAAAAAGACTCAATTTGATAATTTACTATAGTATTGTAGAGAATAAGGGAAGCAGACACTTGTACTTCAAAGTATCCTTATTCCTGCAGATATTAAATTTTTACTAAATGCTTTTTCAGTTTTTACAAAAATAATATTTTCTCCCTCAATCCATTAGTGAAATGAATCATGTCAATTTTCAAAATGTTGAACTATCCTTACATTTCCAGAATAAACCCCACTTGCCATGATATATCATTCCTTTCACATGCTGCTGAATTTTATCCAAATATTTCAGTTAGGATTTCTGTGTTTGGAAGTGAGATTGGTCAGTAGCTTTTTTTCTTTCTCAGTTTTTGGTATCAATGTCATGTGCATTTCATTAAAAAAACTAGGGCCCTTTCCTTCTTTTGATGTGTTGTGGTATGTTAAAAATAACATTGAAATGGCCTGTACCTGAGTTTTGGTAAACTTAACACTGAAACCATCTAAACTTGGTGCTTTGGGGAAAGCTTAACTCATATAACCTTTTCAGTTCTTACATGGTAAGGAGTCTGTTTTGCTTTTTCTATCTCTTTGGGAGCCAATTTTGATATATTATATTTTCCTAGAAATTATTTAACTCATCCAGATTTTAAAATTCATTTATACACAGTTTTACATCTGTTTCAGCTATCTGATACCTTTAAAAAGCTTTTTTAAAGATAATTAGTTTTTTAAAGGTTTTTATTTCTCCATCCACTATTTTTTTCTTATATTGTACTCATGTAAAACCTTTGCCAATTATATCTGGATTACTGTAAAGAAAGTCATTTTTTTCAGGATAGGCTACTTGCCCAAAGTTCATATTGGAAAGGGACCAAGACTATGTTCCTTCTGACCCGGGGAATCTTACATGTGAGTTTGTTTAGCCTTAAACTTCTTCCAGTCAGTGGAGGTAGGCAGTTGAAGTATCTGCAACTAAAATTTCTCATCTATGGCTTAAATTTTAAATTTTGGGTTTCCAAAGAAAGTCTGTCCTATGTTGATGCTTTCCTCGACTCCTCTGCTTCTTGGGTCAAGACCTAATCTAAGAAAGCTCCCATTTTTACCTTAGGGATTCTCACTGTTGCAAAGCATTTAGATGAAATAAACCTGTCATCTAGAAGGGTCTTTAAAGGCTTTTTCAGTAATCTGCAGACATGAGTAACTTCTTCCCACCTCCTTACATACCTGTCTGGCTTTACTCCCTGTTGCTGTTGGAAACCTTTTCACCTGTTTAGTAATTTATAGTTTCAGCTCTTTCTTAATTCATTGAAGGTGGTGTTTCTATTTTCATTTTTTTGTTCTTTTTGCTGTTTTGGGGTGATTCCTAAGAGGAAAAGGAAGCAGTGCTGACTTTAGGCTGCCATGTCCAAGAAAGAAGTTCCTATCATTCCATTTCTTTCATTACCTACTGCCTCAATTTCCTTACCTTCCACTTCTTATGGGGTCAGTTACTCCCCTGAAATTTGTCTTTTGAAGATCACACTTTGTTTAAGCCAAATTCTTAACCTCTGCAACATATAAGTACTGTAGGTCACCCCCTTCAGTTTGAAACTCCCTTGTCTTTTGGCTCCATGGCATTTCAAAGTGGGTCCTTTTACTTCTGTTTTGTTCTCTATTGTTTGTTTGCTTTTTATTGATTTCTTTTTCTCCATCCCTAAATTTGGGTTTCTCTTAAATCCATCTCTTTCAGAGTCTTCTTAAAATATGGAAGCTAAAATAACAAATATTTAATGAATATATCACTAGAACATATCTTTATACCATAGGGGATAGGAGGAAATCCTTAAACAAGAAGCAAAAATACTACTAGCCATAAAACATATGTTTGAGTAACTTGAATATATTAAAATTCGGCAATTCTTTCCATCAAAAGATACCATGAAGAACGTGAACAGGTTAGGCAGAGTTGGGGAAGGTTTTTGTAACTCAAAAGGGCTTTCATACAGAATTTCTAAAAAAACTATATATTCTATTACTTGTATGTCACAATTTATCTGTTCTGTTATTGAATGACATTTGATTGTTTCATGGTTTTGGCTATTACAAAGACTGTTGCTATGAACATACATATGTTTACACACACACACACACACACACACACACACACACACACACACACACACAAGTGCATATGTGCCTGCATTTACAAAGATTATATAGAAAGGGAATTTCTAGGAATAGAATTTCTAGCTCATGGGGTATTCATATTTTCAACTCTTAGATAATGCTAAACTGTTTTTCAAAGAAAAGGAATAAATTGCAACTACGTTTCAACTTGGATAAATTTCACAAACAATATTCAGCAAAAGAAGCAAGACCAAAAGAAATTATATATCTTATGATTCCATTTATATAAAAGTCATTAACAGGCAAAAATTAAATTATGTTGTTTAGGAATGCATATATAGGAATTAAGTAAAAAGCAAGAAGTTGGCTACCACAAAAGCAGAGTCATGAGGACTCCAGGGCAGAGAAGGTTGTGATCAGGCAGTGACATCAGGCACCTCTTAAGGTGCTGGTGATTTTTTATTTCTTAATTTGCATTTTGGTTACACTGGAGTTTATTTTACAATAATTTCTTAAAATACACATTTATATTTTATACATTTTTTCTAAGTATGTTATTACACAATAAGAAAAGCTTTAAAAAAATGAAACCTGGGAATTCATTTGAATGAATACAATTTAAGATACCCTTAGGCAACTTTATTTTTCCTATTTCAGTTTAAATATAATAGAGGGAGGATTAAAAAAGGCAAACCAACACTGGAAGGCACTTCTTTTAACCTAAATCTATATCTGTGTCTTATTATTAAGTTTGTCACCATGGCAATCAAAAGTAGTAAAAATGCCATTGTAGGAAAACTACAGGTTTTTCTTTTTAGTATCCTTTTTTCCCCAGTTTTATTAAAAAATAGTTGACATGCATTGCTGTTTAAGGCATACAACATGATGGTTTGATTTACCACTTACATAATCACCATAATTACCATTTATGATCATTTTGAGATGATTGTCACAATAGGTTCGGCTGATACCCATCTTCTCATACAAACACAATAAAAAGAAAAGAAGAAAAAAATTTTCTGATGAGAACTCTTAGGATTTACTCTCTAAACAACTTTCCTACATATCATACAGCAGTGTCAGATATAGTCATCATGTAGTACATTACATCTCTACTAATTTATCTCATAACTGGAAGTTTATACTTTTTGACCACTTTCCTCCATTTTTCCCTCCCCTCACTCTCCACTTCTGGTAACCATAAGTCTGACTCTTTTTCTGTGAGTTTGGGGATTTTTAATTTGTTTTTTGTTTTTTAAGATTCCACTTATGAATGAGATCATACAGTATTTGTGTTTCTCTGACTTATTTCACTTAGCATAATGCTTTTAAGGTCCATCTAAGTTGTCACAAATGGTAGTATTTCCTTTTTTAACGACTGAATAATATTCCATTTTATATTTACCACAATTTCTTTATCCATTCATCCATCAGTGGACACTTAGGTTGTTTCCATGTCTTGGTTATTGTAAATAATGCTGCTGTGAACATGGGGATGCAGATAGTTTTTCAAGTTATCATTTTCTTTGGGTATATTCCCAGAAGTGAAGTTGCTAGATTATATGGTAGTGCTATTTTTTAATTTTTTGAGGTTCCTCCTTACTGTTTTCCATAGTGGCTATACTAATTTACAGTCCCACCAACAGTGTACAGGGGTTCCCTTTTCTCCGCATCAATGCCAGCATTTGTCATCTCTTGTCTTTTTGATGATGGCCATTCTGACAGGCAAGAGATGATATCTCATTGTGATTTTAATTTGTATTTCCCTAATGACTGTAGATATTGAGCATCTTTTCACTTACCTTGTTAAGCCTTTTGTATATTTTTTTTAGAGAAATGTGTATTCAGGTCCTTTGCCCATTTTTTAATTGGGTTATTTGTTTTTCTGCAATTGAGTTGTATGAATTCTTTATTTTGGATATTAATCCCTTATCAGATAAATTGTTTGCAAATATTTTTTCCCATTGCATAGGTTTTCATTTTGTTGATGGTTTCCTTTGCTGTGCAGAAGCTTTTCAGTCTGATGTAGTCCCACTTATTTTTTA